ACAAGAAAAAATCATGTGAAATGCTCTATAGAACCCTATGCTGGCCAGGTGGGCGGGGCGGCCGACTCTTCACTAGCGAACGGCGCTATCCTCTCGCCTTTTTGAGATGCAAAACTAGTACATACTGCATCCTCATAGGGAGGGCTATGATATCCAGAGAGGGCGCGGGAACATCAAATGAACGTGGGCGCTGCCTTTAAGGATCATCCTCGGAATTGAGTGCACAAATTGTTACCAACGGAGTTTTCGCAGTGTTGAGCGACTTCTCTGCTACTAAAGCTGAAGTTCCCAGAATCTCAATACACGGCTCAAACTGATATGTACTCAATATTTATAACTGATTACAAAACGCAACAACAATCGGTGAAGACGACTATGAGCATGTGATTCATTGATTAAAAACCGTTCAAAGAAAATCGTGCGGTGAACCACTCAATACTAAAAATAAATACATCTTTAAAATTTCGTACCATCACTACTATATCGTTTATACACAGGGAGCAATTAACACTCGGAATAAAACCTGTCATTGAAAACCTTTCTTTTGAAAGGAACGTAAATAATCCTATTTTGGAACACATAAACAACGTGTAGGATTACGAAAAAAAAACTCGTACTGGCAGATCATGGATACTTGAGTAATGGGATGTAGTTGATGATGTGTTTGGGGGTGGCACATCCTCAGAGATGAGTCTCCTGCGCATCGCTGCTCAGCACGATTCGCAGCGTTTCGCTGATACGTCGCTGCATCAACGTACGTTGCGGTTGTGGTGGACCATCAGATCTTCAACAGGTTTCATATACGACTTTGATTTTTGTAATTTTTTAGACTTTCTGAGGATCAAGTGGAGCTGCCCCCTCTCCTGGGATCATCTTTTACTGTTATTATCGCGAAATAGTGCGATAGCAGATATTGTCGTCCATATCGGAGGGCCCAAAATGGGCGTCCAAGCAGTTCAGTTCACTGTCCTGGGAAGGTAGAAGGTTCGCTTGGCCGCGGCGGTGCCGATCCACGATTTCACCCCCGGACCGTGTACGTGGTACCTTGTCAGTACACCACCTTCGCCTCGGCCCTATTTACAGTCTATATTTGCCTCAGACAAGGACCGCAAGCAGTAGCTAACTACTTCAAAGGAAGAGAACACGCTAATGGCATGGGCGGGATCGAGTCAACAAGTAAGCCCTCCCTATTAGTGCGCGCCCCCTTCCTAGACGATGAAACTGTGAGGAACAGGGTTCGCCACGCAAACGAGCGTCTTTAAATCGTTTCCATAGTTGTGAGCCCGACAGCAGCAGCTTTTTCCGTGCTAGCTCTTCTTACCCATGGGTCTCTAATTCCCTACTCTCGAAACTACGTACAGCCTTACTCGCTGCAAACGCTGGGGCAGGTCAGGGGCTGGGTTCGGCGCGGGTCTGCCCGTTCTCCACAAGTTGTCGAAGCTGGCAAGATACCCATTTGGAGTAAACGGGAGGATGCCACACCAAATCCAGCCATCTTGACATGCTCCAGCACAGACTCCACATGAATGTGGGAATTCCCCCTTTGCTCTCAGGTATGGACTGTACCCGAAACGGCGATGCGTTCGTTTTCCAGCAGGTCAGGAGATCCGAACTGTATCGGTGCTCTTTTGAAAATGGCGCCACACTTGCACCGGAAACTGATTTATTCGACGAAAAAACTCCAAGCTGACCTGAATTAGCTAGGAAAAAGGTCGCGCGCGTCAAGTCACACCTTAGCGTGTCTCCGCAATTGGAAGGTCCCGACCCGTAGTTCAATTTGTACATACAAAACGGAACACCAAACCTACACTGGAGGAGAGAATATCAAGTTCGCCTTCGTTAGCCGAAGATTGGAAGTGGATTGAGGGAAGCGTCATTCGACCGAAGCAGAAGATTACGTCAGGATTCATATGTCAGAGATAATTGAAACTCGTTCCTGTGGCTGTGACACTTCTACGTAAACGTTGCCCTACTCGGCATTCTGTGACATCTGAAATACATTTCTAATAGATTTTGAACATGGATTACAATGTCCAGAATGTTACTGTTCACCTGAGAATTGGGAACATTTTGCACTTTTGCTACTTCCCATCGACGTGTCGACCTATCTAGACAGCCTCTTCTCGAGTTGACAGGTTTTAACATGATGGCTTGACTACCTTGTTCCAGCTTCACAGGTTTCGCCAGAGTGAGACATGTAAACCGGAACTGAGGAAGCAATGATAGTACAAAATGCCCCCCCCCCCGTCGACAAACAGCGCCCCCAGAATTTTTGGCTTTATTTATCTTTTCCTGCGTAACCACTCACAATCAAGAAATCGCCATTCTTTTGAAGGTTCATACGGCAGACAAGGATGATCATCAAGAAGCTTCTGAATAAGCGCTCGAGCCACGTCGAGATCACTTTCCGATTCGAGACTGATCACGCCGATTTCGAACGCTGAATGAGCAATAATGACTCTGATGAAAGGACTATGAGCTCGAAAGGAACTTGTACTACTTTCTAGGTCACTGTGGATGAATGGGCATGTCAGCCAGTAAGAGTGCACCACGGCACCAAACCCCTCCCCCCTGACACGCCCCTTCGTCCGCAACGAACTAG